CGAATACCACGGAGTTCGTCCCTTCGTTACTTTTCCTTACGGAAGGAAAAGTAAAACTACGCTCTATATATATATATATATATGTGTGTGTGTGTGTGTGTGGGTTTTGCTAAGATATTCCTACACATAAAGTATTTTCTTAATGTACTCATATGGAGTATATAGCTTCCAACCCTATGTGTGTATATGTGTGTGTATATATACCATCAAAATCATCATCCGAGACTTATCTCAATTATTTGGGGTTGGCTTCATGAAATAAATGTGACAACATCTGTATTGGCTGCCAACTCAACACAGCCCTCCTCCATTCTCTGAGCTTGAGACCAGCGTAACCGGCTTGGGAACGGCCATGGCAAGTTATATTAATTATAATAATAACAATTATAGTATGAATTCATTCATTTTACGAGTACTAAATATAGTCATAATTGAATTAATTATAATTACAATAATATGCTCTCTATAGCACTTAATTTGCAATATCAAATCTTTATGTGATAATAAAAGATATCATGTCAATTTAATCATTCATTAAATAAATGTCTACACACAGCATAAAGAGAAACACATTGTCATATTTCTCATTTACTATATTAAGAAAAAGAGGTGGCACATGCCCGAATGAAAAAGATAGCTTTCGCAAAACCTTGCATTAGCTCATTCCAAGTTTTTTTTTTTGGAATAAGCAAATGCTAGTTATGAATTGTTTTGAGGATGTATCTAGGATATGATCTCAAAAACTACACCCCAAACGACCATAGGCCATCAAAACCTGGATTTGCATGTCCTACGGTCCCAACCGAACCATCAAGCAACCTAAAACACATCTAACTGAAACAAAATAATAGAATGGGCAAACTGCCCCTGAATTATCTTAACGCCTGAAAGACAACATAATTACAATAAATTAAAAGCCCACATAACCATAGTTTTACTCTCCAAAAAAAACAAATAAAAAATGAAAACCCCTAATAAAAAAATTTATTTAAATCAGAACTATAGAAGGCCATGATGCCCTCATCAACTATGGAACAAGCAATGGAAGTTTCACATTAACAAATGATCTTGACCAAAAGACATTCCTTAGTATTGAATTCAAGGTGTGACATCCAAAATATTGCTATAAGCTACAATTATACAAGAATCTACCTAGTTCAAATAAAAATAGCCTAACCATAATATTTTCATCAATATTATCTTACTTGCATCCCCAAATAGTTCGGATAAGGCTTAGATGATGATGATGATGATGATGATAATTAATTTATTTATAAAACCATTTAATGAAGTTTGTCATAGCCGGTCCCAAGCCAATCAACTGATCATCCCGATGCCAAGCCCGTATAAAGGAGGGTTGTATTAGATAGGACAACCATCACAAAACTTTGCCACATCTTTCATGAATCTTCAACGCGGAATAAGATTCATGTAGCTGACCCCAAATAGTTGAGATAAGGTTCGAATGATGATAGTATAAACTTTTAATAAGACCCGCAAAGTAGGTGATCAAACTAGTATACAGAAATCGAACTTTATTACCTTCCCAGCTCCTGTCTCCTCACTACCACATAGAGAATGTAGGGCTTGCTCTGCACATATATGTGCATGTGCCACATTTTCGACATACGTAAAATCATACATGTTATTGCCATCACCAATGAGGAACTGAAACAAATAACTCATAGTCAGGCAATTGGAATTAAAATTTTCATGTAGAAAGCTTCATAATCAATATGCATATACTTTTTGCTAAATTAGAAGGAAAAGCATAATGTAAAACTACAGCCAAAAAAAAAAAAGAAAAATCTACTTCTTATACATGACTCTTGAGCTGGTGATTTTGTTGGTTCATGGCCAGTTTCCTATTTCTTTGGTTCATAATCATACATCACATGGGCATTTCGACAGTTATGGTAGAAGAGGATTTCATCATTCTGATTAAATCAGGTCTGTATAATTTAACATGTAACTAAAGATAAAATCCAATGATCATAACATGTGGAAATATGTCCGAAGAATTTATTCATAATGAGGACTATTATTATACCTTAGATTTTCCTGACCTTGCAGATGCCACTAAAGAGGGAACTAGAAGTCTGTCACCAGGGCCAAAAATGCCGCTAGGGCGAATACAACAAGTTAGAAGCCCTTCTTTTCCATTTGCATTCAAAACAAGTGCCTCTCCTTCTGCTTTAGTTGCTGAATAGTTGTCATTGTGCTGAGGTAAAACATTGATGGTGAAAAAGCATGAGTTAAGCAAGCAAAAGGTGATTGACCTTGCAGTATCAAAAAGGAGGGAAAGAGCAAAAGAAAGAGCGTGCTTCTTATAACAAAGAAAAAAAAAGAAAGAGTGTGCTTCTTATAACAAACACATTAGTGTGTGAAGAAAAACATCAATTTCAAGCTAAGATATATATGCTTGAATCAATGCACCTGGTCTGGATATGGCAATGACTCATCCCCATTATGTATCCCATGAATGCCATCAAAGACCACACTGGGGGAGCTGGTATAAATCAGCCTTTTTACTTTACACTCAACGCAGGCATCAATCACATTTTTTGTACCTGTAAAACCAGAGTTTGCATTCGAAATGCTTGACATGTAGAGGAACTAAAAGTGGAAGGCAAAATAAAATATGATTCAACCTGTTTTGTGAAGCTTAGGTGCCAGAAGAGAGCAAGTAGATTCCCTAGTGAGAAGTCTGTGTCTAAGTGTATGAGTGTGTGGACCACACACACTGCCCATACAGTAGTGTCCACGTACTGACTGATGTACCAGGGAGTTCCTCCTCACTACGAGCACCATTATCCAAGTTGATGCCCCCCGGGAACATTGCATGTGGTCTGCACTCTTAACTGCTTATGTTCTCTTATTACAGCTATTATATCCTCGTAATATTATATTATATAATTGTGGGAATATAAAATAGAGAAACCCAAACATATAAATCACTCGTGACTTAAATTTGCATCTCAGTCAATGCAAGAGGAGACAACTAAGACCACTGATTATAGGAAACAACTGACTCTCTCTCTCTCTCTCTCTCTCTCTCTCTCTCTACGACGCGACGTACGTACGTCGTACGTACTACGTACGTACGTACGTTATTAGTTAGTTTAACTTATTAACTTACTAACTAACAACGTAACAC